TTTGTGGCTGTCATTTATTTTCTCAGCTCACACTTGACCTACTATATTTAATGATACGTCAAATTATTATTATTTGTATCTAGTTAAAGATATTACTCCCAAAAATTGAAAAAAAATCCACTTTATCAATTAAAAAGTTACTTAGCCCACATTCTCCATAAGACAATTAAAATAATGAATTTCTAATGTTTTTAAAGTATTTATTTTCTAACTAAGTTTGATATGATAATAGATTTCTACTACAAAATTAAATTAAATTATTTTACTTTGTAATTTATTATTATCTTTTTGCTCTAATTTTGTATACCAGTCTATAATATTCCCAATTTGTTGGTAACATGTTGCTATATAAATTACTTCTAAAAAAAAAAAATTATTTTTAGTTTGACCTGATTTTAAGAATGGATTTTTACAATTATAATCAAATTTTATAGTACCCTCAATTGAGTAGATTTTTTTAACAACTTTTTCATTGTTTTTTTTATGTTAAAGTAAATTGTTAAAATTAATTAACTTCTAAATATTTCAAGTGTAGGATCTTTTAAATCACCAAAAGTCACTTAGAAATGATTTCTATTAAAATTATTTATAGTAAAAAAATAGTGATTTTAATGAAATATTCAACTTTTGTCATAAATTTATTGTAAATATTTATTATAAAATTTTTTGACTACATAATAATCTTAGCATTGCTATTTTTTTAATTCTCATAAAATTTTCTATTTAATGATGTCAATTTCAAACTTACAAGTTGTGTTAAATGTTATGGTAACAAATTCAACTTTTTATACTATAAACTGTCACAAAAATCAACTTTAAAAGACCAAAAAAATAGGTTAAAAATTACATTTTCAATAATTTTTTTTTTTGTATGTCAATACTTGTTTTTTACTAATTAATAATAATTACAAAAAGAAATTTTAGAAAAAATGTAATTTTAGGTTTGAAATCTTTACAAAAATGTGTTTAGAAATTCATAAGAAACAAAAATTTTTTTGTCAATTATTCTTATTAATTTTATGATTTGTATGTATTAATTAAAATACTGAGATATTAAATATTAATATGAATCTAAATTAAATTAAATAAACATTATTTTTACATGTCATTTATTTATTTATTGAACTGAAATATTTTATTAAAAATGTAAGTCCATGGTTTATTTGATAGTAATTTGAAATACTGTCAGATTCAATATTCAACAAGTATTCCTCGTCCCAACTACTAATTTTTTTTATGTATGTATAGTGGCAAAATCATAGTGCTTATAGGGTTGAGCTTTCTATTTACTATGCTTAATATAGAATTATAGTGACCTCCTTATAAAAGGATATTACTTAAACATCAAATTTTCAAGAGGGATAGTTAGTCTATTGACAGAATGAGTTACTAAAATGATTTGTGAGGTAAACAAATCCACCTTTGAGTTTATAGACTAGATTAAAGGTGCTAATGTAATTTTTCCCTATCTTGAAACTCTTATAATTTTCTAAATTTTGGAGGCTAAGCGCCATACTATTTCTATTGTGTCTATACTAATCTAGTCCAAAACAGGAAAAATTAACTACATTTTTTATTTTTTTGTACCTTTAATGAAATATTGGTTTAAATATGTTTAGAAGGTAACTTTTTTGGTGAAATGATTTATAAAATGCAGCAAGCTTATGTGATTTGGAGAGGAGCAGGCATGTCAATTCAAGGGGTCCGTACTTGTGGAGATTATATGTTCAGTGGACACACTGTTGCACTGACTATGTTAAATTTTTTTATAACGGAATGTAAGCATTACTGGATCAAATTTATGCTTTTTTAATGTTAACAAATATTTCTTTGTTTATTTTTTTGATAGACACTCCAAGAGACATATATCTGCTGCATACATTTAGTTGGCTATTAAATATGTTTGGTATTTTTTTTATATTGTCTGGCCATGAACATTACTCTATAGATGTCTTCATTGCATTTTATATTACATCTCGACTATTTTTGTACTATCATACATTGGCTAACAACCAACTTTTAAACAATAATGTGGATTCCTGTCGCACGCGGATCTGGTTCCCACTATTCAGTTTTTTTGAGTCATCGTGTAACTGTATGGTGCCTAATGAATATGAATCACTTTCAGAAATAGCAGAAAATTTAGCATGTTTAGTATATAACAATTATTTAATTATAAAGTCTACTATTAAAACTCAAATTTTATTATTACGTGCATTACCTTCCAATCAGTTTAATAAAATAAGTTCTTCTGCATTAGGAATTACAAATGTAATTAGTAAATCTAATGTGTCTCACGTCACTGACTTAAAAAAAGAATAATTATTTAAAACATTGTTAAAAATTGAAAAAGGTTATTTAATTCAGATTTATTACAACACTTATGTCCATATGTTTGTATTATTATAATTACTAAGAAATTAATGTGATAAATTAAGAAATTTAAATTAATTTTTGACTGATGTTATAGATTTATTTTTAATACTATGAACCAAAAATTTTAATTTTTATCAATCATTATTTATATAAAAAAAATAGTAATTTTCAAGTATCATTTCTTTTACATTTAGGCCACTGGAAAAACAAAAAAGAGAAATACCTATCTTAAATAAATTTAAATTGTGTTTTAAGTCATACCGAACAAAATATGTTAATTAACTATAATGTTAAAGTAATGAATGTTTGTCTTCCTATTGGCAAAATTGTTTTCCTAGTCTTTATTATTTATTATTGAATAACTATTTATTCTATTTATTATTATTATTTTTATATCAGATTGTTACTTTTTTCTTTGTTTATATCAAAGATGTGTTACATAATTTTTATACTATACAAAATTTAATGGTGTTTTAAATCAGAGTATTAAAATCTTTATAAGTGATAGTTAAGGAATATATATATATATATAAGTTTAATATTAAATTGAAAAAAAGTTCACTTTCAACTATATTTTGTTTTCCTATTTTACTTCTTCATAGTTTTATATTTAATTACAATATATTTATAGTATTTATTTTAGAATTATATTTATTATTATAATCAATAATATTTATAATAATTAATGTGTAGTTTTTTTTTCATTAAAAAGTCTATGTTAAATGAATTTTGTTTTTAATATACTCTTAGCTAACCAATGTAATCACACAATAGATTGACAGTTCACAAATTTTGTTTATTTCTTAAGCCAAAATTCGAAGAATTTCACTGTTATAAATGGAATATAACCAAAAATAGAATAACTATTATAAAAATTATAATTATTAAAGAATTTAAAATAAAAAATAAACACATGTAACATTTAACTTATTTTGAAGTTCATTTGATTTGTATTTTATATATTACTTTAAACTATTTTTAGAATCACTTTTTATCTTCTTTTCACAATCAAAAAAAAAAAAAAAATGGAAAATAATCAAAGTAAAACAAAAACGTTAAAAAGAATGTTTAACAATTGAAAACTATAATCTCTCTAAAACTATAATATAAATTATTTACTAGTTTCGATTTATTATTTGCTTTGAAAAATAAATCATAACTTTCATACATCATTTAAGGTTGTTAATTTATCTGAAAGGTGCTTTGATTGCTTAGGACATTTAGAATATTCCCAGCATGGTCAATATTACTAGTCATGGGTTGTCAGCTTTTCTTGTTATGACTGACTAATTTTAAACTCAATTACTTTAAGAAAACAAACTAAATAATGGCAACTATTTTCTTTAATGATATTTATTTTTACGTCCATAACAACAACAAATTATTTTATTATTAACAGCAATATATTCTTAAACATTCAAGGAGAATTTTCAACTGTAAATTTATTAAAGTTTTAATTTTCAATTATTTAATTTAGACAACAAAATTGATACTTAATAAAATATGAAAATTGGAAAAATTATTATTACATAAAAATGAATAAAAGTAAATTATAATATTTTACAATCAATGTATATAATAGTAATTAAAGAAAAATTATTGATAACAATATTACTTAATAAAAAACATTTATCGGACGGATTGCTCGTCTGATGCTTTTAAAATTAGTTGAATTTTTCTTTAATTTGTAATTATTAAGTATGATGAAAATAAATATTGAATTAGTCATTGCAGTAGAACAATTATACATTAATAGTAATCTAATTATCATTGAATTGATTAATCAATACTTATTAATATATTTTTTGTTCTAAATACAGTAAAATTTATTTATATTAGATAAAATATTATTAGTGCTCTATAATTCAGGTATTATGCCGTAGAGCATAAATTGATACAAATGTATTAGGGTGGTGCAAATGCAAAACGGGTACAACAGTAGCAACAATATGGAACTCAGTTTTTAAAGTTTTAAGAGTGGAATTTATAAGTTGTCTGTAAATTGGAGGTTTCTGCTCACATGAAACTTTGTAAAATATTCTTAAAGAACATATTGCATCAGTAGGTGTTGATGTAGGCTCACCTCGAAGCAATCTCTTAAGAGAATAACGAAAAGCCTCCTCTAGACCAGTAGCTGAAATAACTTCTGATGAAGTTTCAGTAAAATCATTTATAGCTAATAATGACGTACAGGACCCTAAAAAATATTTTATCAGTCTTTAATACTATGAAAGAATAAGAAAGAACAATTTGAAAATATAATTTTACTGAAATTAATATTGTTATGATCTATAAAACAAGTTAAACATAAAATTTTAAAAATATTTACCAGAGGAAATATATGTAACTATAGCTGCTACATTGTTTTCATAATTCCATCTACGCCTTATTGATACTCTATAATTGTCAACACAGCAACCTGTTTCTTCATCTGTAAAAGTTTGTTTAAATAAATTACAATTCACTAATACTAAAATAATTTATACTGTTAAATTAAAATATGGTATAGACTTATTACTTTGATGATTACAGAAGAAAACCATATAAATCAATTTTTTTAAATAATTTTTTATGAAAAATTTTTTTATTGACATTTATTTGTAAATGTAATATTTTTTTAATGATTTTCAGGTTTTTTCTTGTACCTTTAATTTATTAAAGGTATTATTGCAACTAATTATGTTATGCTTTTTACACATCTACTTTGTCTGAACATTATTAATTAATAGTTAATAAATATAATACCTACATTCAAATCTTGAATTATGTTTGTGAGCCCATAAATGCCATTCAACTACTGCATCTTTTGGAAGCCGAGAAACTACTACATAATCAACAATAGCATTATTTGTGCGTTTCTCCCATTCTGTCCTAGCAGCATGGATATACTTAGTATTTGTAACATAACAAATTCCCTAAAGACAATAATTACTTTTATTTAGTAAGTAAAAGGTTATTTTATTTTATTTACTTGAACAACGTCTCTAAGTTGTGTATTTGAATCAACAGCTTTTATTATTCTGCTTACATGGCGTAGTGAAAGCCGGCACTCTCTTAATATTCCACCTTCTACAATATTAAGAGTTCCAGGCACTAAAGCAATTTGGCCAGCAACATAAATAATATCACCAACCTGAAATTGTTAAAAGAATTTTAAATATCAAGTAAAATAAAATGTTTTTCTACTAACTTTAATAGCTTGACTGTAAGGTCCAATATTTGCAGGCGCCCAATGGGATATACTCTGTACATGCATAGTTTGTTTAGCAACTGCTGGGAGATTGGAATTTGAAGAATTTTTCCGAGGTGGCTTATATGCAACGACATCCATTAAAATAGGAGTATGTTCGGATAAAGGTATTTCTACACAAACTCTAACAGGAGGACTAACTCTACACATAATTGATGCATACAACTCGTTCATTTTTAAAAATTCAGTCATATCACGTACATATAAAGTAACTGCTACTACATCAGATAGCTCTAGATTCCTTTTACATAATAAATCTAAAAAAAATGTAATTGTAATTATAAGTAATTGTAATAAAAAAATATCAAACCTCTAAGTTTTTCTAAAGCAACTAGAATAGGTGGTTTATTTTCTTCCCAATAACCAACTAAAGAATTGATCCATGTCCATCCAGTTGGATATCCAATACAGGATACAGAATCTGTTTCAATGATTTCTCTAGCGTTCATTAGTCCATCAATTTGATCAATAGAATTATCTGTAGTAATATTCTCTAGATTATCACTATCAGCAATTGTTCCTAAATCAATTTCTAAATCATCTAAATCCATTAAATGAGCAAGAGGACTCCGTACAGAGTATTTAGCTAAACGATCACGAAAACTTTGATTTTCATCAACATTCTAAAATTATAGAATAAAAATTAATTTAATTTTGTATTGAAGTACTATAAAATAATTTATTTTTAACTATAACTTTCATGAGAACTATTTCTAAATTAAATAGTTTTATAAAAATTACAGTTGACATAAATCATTTTTAATAGTTATATAGGCAATATTATTCAACTGACTATATTTTGAATTTATAATCTAAATATAAATTTTTGCAATAAGTTAATGGTTATCCAGAATTTTTTTAATTAGGTTAAAGTTTTTCTAAAAATTGATAAATGCTTAAAATAAATAAATAAATATTCTACTAACCGGTTTTTTAAGTAAGCAGAACTTTTTAAAATTTATATAGCCAACTGGAGCAATTACATCATTTGTGTGCATAACTGTTTCAAATTCTTCACTGAAAAATGATTATTTTTAAGTCAAATGTAATATTATTCAAAATTATTTTTAAAAATAATTATTAAGATTGTTTAAATAAAAAAATCTTAATAGTATAATATAATGCACAACCTGAAAAATAAATGCTCAGAATTAATTTGACTTTTAATTTTATAATAGTAATTATAATATTTATTCATATTATTATGAATATAATAAATGATCATAATACATTATATAGCTTATATAGCTTACATGATATAACTAATAATAATGGAAAAAAGAGTAGTAGAGTTGGCCTTAGGGAAAGGTCTTAGAGTTAAAAGAATAATAATTTTTCATAGGAACACATACAATGAAACATGTATGTCATCTAATGGTATATACACAAATAAAATAGATCATGTATTGGTAAATAGGAGATTCGCTAACAATATAAGTGATGTAAGAACATATAGAGGAACTGATTGCGACTCAGACCATTTTCTAGCTGTATGCAAACTTAGAGTTAAGCTAAAAACAATGAGTAGGAAAATAAGACAAGGAATAGTCAAATATTATGCAGAGAAACTCATGAATATTGATAAACAATGAAAAATATGTAAGAAAATAAGCTGGAAATTATACAAGAAGTACACTTAAATCCCAAAACAGTAAATTATTAATAGAAAATAATTAAAGATATCCTTGAAAAACTGTCAGAGAAAGTGTTAAGAAGAGCTCTTAAGGTGAATAAATCATTTAAAAAAAAAAAAAAAAAACAGAGAAAGATGGCTAAATGATGTTGACAATTGTAAAAAAGAAATGATCTAAAGAGTAAAAAGGGAAAGGCTTATAATATTATAAGTTGTGTAAAGAGAAAGTATGTTTAGAACATGATAAAAGGAACAGAATAAGATTATAGATCATACAAGACACAACAGCTAAACCACAAAGTGAATAACTTTAAGAGGAAATATAAAAAACATGAAATTTTTTTGAAAAATGATAATAAACCATGAAGAAATAATAGAAAAATGGGCAGAGTATTTCAAAAAACTTTAATGATAAAGAACCGATAGATACATATGCATATGAATATAAGTAACCCAATGATGATTCCTGCTTAGTCTTTAATTTTACAAATTAAAAGATTCAAAAACCACAAATCATTAGGGGAAGACAAGCTTCAAGGTGAAGTATTAAAGCATACTAATAGCATCATGATAGAGTATTTCCTTATTAATTAAAGAAGCATGGGGAAAGAAAAGTTTACCGGTAGATTGAGGAATGACATATATTTGATTATAAAAAAGGGTGATTAACAAGTCTGCGGTAACTATAGAAGAATAGCACTACTAAATACAACGTATAAATGAGGAACTATCAATGCGGATTTAGGCAAAACAGGTCAATGACAAATCAAATTTATGTAATTACAGCTATTTCAGAAGAGTAAGGAATACAATAAGAACTCTATATCATTTTTGTAAATTTTCAAAACGTATATGACAGTACAACTAGCAGAACATAACAGACATATTAAAACATTTTCATGGAAAATAGTACATCTATTTGAAGCTAGTATAAAACATAGAAAACTCAAAATCAAAATAGAAAATTCCATATAAAGAATGGTAGTGTTGAGAACTGAACTTAGGCAGGAGGACGCTATGTCACCACCATTCTTTTTAATTCAATTTTAGATAAAGTAATCTGAGAAATGAGGATTAAAAGAGATGAAGAAATAATAATGAATAGAACCTGTTTTAATTTACCTACCTATGCAGACCATATAGTTCTACTATGGAAAGAAAAACAAAAAGTAGTAGATTTATATGGCAGATTAATAGAATTGGCAAAAGAAATGGGACTTCGTCTCAATATGGAGAAAATATATGAAAGTTAGTAGAGAACTAGGTTATGCTCCTGTAGTTGAGACTATTACCAGCAGTACAAGTTCAAAAATATAAGATTCAAATATTTGAACACAACTACAACACAGAAAATTGAAAGTCAATAACTTTAATAAATTTAAATAAAAAATAAATACTTCTATGCAATAAATAATTAACTAAGCTTTAGAGTTCTCTTTAAAGGTAAAAATTCAGTTATATTTGACAATCATACAATCAATAAAAATTATAGATCACAATGTACGACTCTTTGAAAACCAAACTACATGTGTTCGAGAGGATGGAGTTACAAAAATATATGGGATATATATGATCAAGATCTTCAAGTATGAAGGAAAAGACACAACCAAGAACTGATAGATTTATTCAATAGACCATGTACTGTGAACAATATTAATAGAGCAAGTTAGAATGAGTTGGCTATGCGTATAGAATAATTTTATGATACAAAAAGTGCACCCAGGAAATCTGGGAAACTGAGTAAGCCAAAGTTCCGTTAGGATGATGGTATCATAAGACTTCATTAGCACCGAAGGAGAATATTAAAGAAACTAGAACTAGGAGATAACAGAGAATAAAAAAGAATGAAGAGGAATTGTAAAATGAAAAGATGGTCTTAAAGACTAAAAAAAAATGTTTATACTAATATACCAAAAATAAATCATAAAACTATATTCCTTAAGTTTTTATTGTAAAAATAATAAAAATCACAACTAGGTTTGAAATACATTTTCTATCTTTAAAATTTTATTAACTTATCTACTATCACAACAATGCAACTTAAATCACGTTCATATTATTACTCAAGAAATAATACATTGTCTCTAAAAAAATATGTATAAGTGAACGCATGTATACATGGAATTGTTGGTATACTTACATTATCACCGATTTGGTGAACAAAGGACAGTCTAGAGTGAAAGTTTCATATTCTCCACCTTCTCCACAAATATTTAAGCCATACTTTTCATTCTGGAAACCAACATAAAAGTCAAGGAGAAAATGGAGTAGCCCCAATTTTAAATCCACCATACATTTCACTCAAATCAAAATATTGTATAAACCCCTATGATCCCAAACAAAAAATTTAAGTCAAATTCTAGTGACTAAGAGCTGCATTGACTCTGTTCAATAATATAAAAAAATTTATTCAATAAAATTTACTGAGGAACTATAATTAAATCATAACCACTACTCAAAAATGTAATACTACTTTATATATTTTTTAAATGGATTTTAGTAATAATTAATTAGTAATAGATAAGAATGTAAATCAAACTCAAATACATAAGTCATATCAACTAATTTTTTTAGTAAAACTACTTCTAAACAACAAGATATACAGAATACAACTACAATTGAGTTGATATGAAATTGTACTTTATTATATTAATTTTTTTATTATAATAAAATTGTGATACTAGTTTTATAATATAGTATAATTTATAAAAGGAAACCATTTTCTATAATATTTACCATTTGAACTAGATGAGGCATAAGTTTATCAATTCGTAAACCTAAATGTTTAGTAGGGTCTAGCCCAAGTGCTGCTACTTTAATAACTATTGCTTCAATATTGCAGTCAATCATTTCTTGTAACAATTCTTTTTGGTCACGACGCCATAAATATGATAATGAACACAATCCTAACCTTGAGCACCTAGATAATTATTTATTGAAAAAAAAAATCATTTAGAATATTTATAGATAGAAGAAATACAATAATATTAATTAATTTAAATATATTTACTTACACATCTTCTACACGCAATCGCTGATAATCAGAAAGAATAGCACCAACTGCTATAGCATCAAAATTAATTTGTTTCTAAAATTCCAGAAATTAATTAGAACTTTATATTTACAATTGATATTTTCTCAATTAAAATTACTTTAATATTAACAAGAAGATCAAATAAATCTTCAACTTCATCTTTTGGTGTTCTAGTATATACTTTTTCTTGTTGTAATGCAACACCATTTGTTTGCTGTCTGAATAATGGTAACCCCATTGCTTCAGCATACAAATCTATTGCTTGATGGCCAACACTTTGATACATGTAACTATCTAGTTCATCTTATATTCCATTATAGTAAAATTATTTGTTATTAATAAATATGCAAAAACATTAATACATTTAAAACATAAAATTTAACATTAATGTTTTTACCCCTACTATGTGGTTGTAAATTGGCCAATGCAACTATATCATGACCAGCCGCTATACACTGCATCATATTGTAGCAGCTGTCTTTTCCACCACTAATTAATGCTACTACTTTCATATTACTACCTAAATAAAATTAATCAATTTAAGATGAACAAAATTTACTCAATACTATAATATTAAGAATAAATAAAAATTATTACTACCTTTTTTAAATTATTTTTCCTAATAGGTCAACATCAACTGGTTCATAGTATACATAAGACAATTTTATGAATCATTTCAAAAATTTACCTCAAGATCTAGTTTTCAATTTAGCGGACACTCAACAAGCACCATAAATGGAATAAAAAATTTAATGAATTATCAAACGAAATTTGGCAATCGAATAATTTTTTCAAGAACATCTTAAATCTAAAAAAAATATTTGGCTAGGCTATAGAAATACCTCGTTCGCTGTCTACCCGTTAACCCTGTAACCTGAATGTTATCATTTATGTGTTATCAATATGACTGATATGTTTTCTATAATTAAAAAAAACTGTATTGTCGATGTATATTTTTCTTGTTATTCCCTAAGAAGTATACAAAATCGTTAGTGAATATACTATTTTGTTGTTCTTATCCTTGTTCTAGTATTTTATTATAAACATCATTAAAATTAATATTTTTGTATGTTTCTAGAGGTCTAAAATTTAAATTTAATACTCGTGTTTTAGGTAGTTTAAGCAAGTTATTTCACACAAATATTAAATTTTTGATTAAAAAAATCACTAGTTATAATTAACTACATTATTAATAATTATCGAACATTTTTCATTTAAAAACTTTATTACATACAAGATGGAACCATCTAGTGATATTTCTATAGAAAACTGTGATGAAATTAATAAAAAATCAACAATAAATAGAATCCGTAAAAGAAAAAAGCAATTATTTGCCGAGTTAAAAAAACAAATTGAATTTTACCTAAGTGATGCTAATTTGCGTAAAGACCGGTATTTTGGACATCTTATACAAATTAATAATTGTTAGTCATATTATTAATATAAAATTATGACAAAAGTTCAATAATATATGTATAATATAATTTTAACTAAACTTCAATACTTATTTGATATTATATTATATTTACTTTCTAATTTGTTTTTATTACAGATATAAGTATAGACACATTTCTCAATTGTAATAAAATTAAAAAAATTACAACCAACCCAGATGACATTGTTAAAGCTTTAGAAACTTCACATATGTTAACTGTAAGTAAATGTAAAACAAAAATACTACGATTGAACCCTATTGAAGAGAAACAGCCAGAAGATATTGATCGATGTACAATTTATGTTGTGAGTAACTATAATAAATAGTTATTTAGTATTATAGTTTAGTGATTAAAATTAGGATAGTAATTCTTCATCAGTTATAAATAAAAATATCTTAAGGATTTTTTTATTGTAGGAACAATTACCTCCAAAGGCTGATCATGATATTGTAAAATCAACATTTGAAAAATATGGAAATGTTGCTTATGTATCTTTACCTAAATTTAAAAGTGGAAATATTAAGAGATTTGCATTTGTAGAGTTTGAAAATGAAGATTCAGTCAAACAAATTCTTGAAGTAAATCATTGTACTACTAATAATACTTTTTTATTTTTACTTAAAAATGTAAAATAATTTTCTTCTTTAATCGGCTATTGTTATTGTCTTTCATAGCCTTATTATTAAGGTTAGGAACTTAATGTATTTGTAAAATTTATTTTAGTTATATTAGTATGCAATTTAACTCATTTCAAAATTTAATTATTTTTAATTTTATGATTTTAAGTTAAATTAAAAAAATGAATGAAAGATTCCACAAAATATATACCTTACCAATTTTTTTAACAAAAACATTTTTATTTGTAAAATAAAGATTAAATCATTTAGCTTTGATAGCTGTGTCATACGTTGGTAGTGCCCCGATGTAGACACAAAAGTTTTACACAAGTTAATTAATGTTTTTTAATATATATGACAATGAGTTTGTCGTTTCAAGCTCTTCTCGAGTCCTCCCGTTAGATATACTGGTCAGTCCCATCCCTCAAATTAGTGAACTACTAAAGGGGTAGAGTTTAGACCCATCAGCACGGTTTAGCTCAAAAGTAGCAGTCTGAAGAGTAGCTCCTCGTCAGCCACCAGCACAACTACCTTTTTACTATACCTATTAAAAGTTGTAAAGCTCAAAAACTAGCCAGCACGCACACTAATTATAAAGATTGACTAAAGGACCAGCAGTCCTTGCTGCATACACACATACAATTTTAACAGGATATAAAATATTTACGCTAAGTGCAGGTTTTTAAATAGTTATTTTATTTAAGAAACGTAATAAACACAAAGTTAAAATGTAATATAAAAATGTAACAAGAAACAAATTAAATCGTACAAAAACAAAGTTATTCACATCAAACATCCTCACCCATAACTCGACGTATCTTTGACAAAACGTCCAGTCCCCCAATACTTTTCATGTTTCCCTTTTATATTATTTTTTATTATTAATTTGCTTACCCTGCATTTCCCTTTTATATGGAATTATTATATTGCTTAAGAGTTCAAAAATTGCTTACTACTGTTGTAAAGCTTATATTATACTAAAATTGACGTAATTCAATACCTCCTCAGCTATTTACTACAGCTGCTTTATTCATTTATTATGCAGTCAAAATGTAGGATATCCTTTTAAATTAAATTTATTCTCTATACTGTTTTAGATTACCTTGAAATTCTAACTTTTTTTTATTAAACAAATTATGTTTGAATTTTTAACTATGTCTTGAATTTTTTAATTAACTATAATATAATTCCAACAATGAATTTTTATCATGTATGACAAATTTTGAAGTATAACTTAGATATGTCTGATTAACTAATTGATCTAAAAAAGCATTTATTGAAAAATATCCATATTTTTTGCTATTGACTTTATTTTACCCATGTTAGCCAAACTAGTTGAACTAATACTGCTTTAGTAAGTTAATTATCCAAAATTAATCACAAAATATCCACTATTTCTTCCCAACTTAAGTATAAATTTAATTAACACGCTCATTTAGTTGTATAAAAAACATTTAGCGACATATATTTGTAGAGCAAAACTCAATATAAAACAATTATTTGTACATAATTAAAAATTTGTAGCAATATAAAAATGGAATTTCTAGTAATTCTGATAAATGTTAAATGCTTATAAAAAACAAATTGTTGACTATTTTAGGAATTCCAAAAAATTAATGAAGATTCTAAAATTCTTCCTGAACAACTTCAAAGCATAATTTCATTTAACGAGGGGGATAAAGAATGTGCTGATGAAACCAGTACTATACCTTGTAAAAGAAAATTCTCTGATGATCAAAATGGAATAAAAGAGAAAAAAATGAAATATGAATCTTTGAAAATAAATGCTACTGGAAACAAAAGTGTAAGCAAAAAAAAAAAAAAGAAAGAGAAATCAAAAAAAAATTCTATGGACAGTAATAATAAAATAGAGAATTCCATAAATGACAATGAAAGTCTTCAAAAGATTGTACTTAGTGATAATTCTACTATTGAAAAAACTGATGATGAAGTAACTGCAAGTGAAGAAGATATCAATCAAAGCAATGATATAACAAATGACACTAAGGAGGACTTAGCCAAAAAAAAAAGAAAACGCAACAAGGGTAAAAAAGTTAAATCACACTCTTGCTTATCTCTCCAAGAAATAAGAATTATGTCTAAGTATGTACTTTAACTGTTATTTATTGAAATATTAATACTTAATATATTTAATTAAATCAAAATGAAGTTTTGGTTGCTTATAAATAGTCCTTACTATTATATTTTATGTTGTATCCTTTAAATAGGTGATAGCTTTGTGACACATTAATTACACCGGCACACAAAAAAAAAAAAGTTGTCTGTACATTGGACTAGACCCACCTACAGACATGTATTTTGTCCCGCTGAATCCGAATTTGAAGTCCGTTTGGTCCGGTCACCCTTCAGATTTGAGTAAAATGCAAAAAACCAAAAAATAGGCAAAAAACTGCAATTAAAGCGATGAAAAAAATTTTGTGGACCCTGATCAAGTATGATTTTTATGTATTTCAATTTACTGAAACTGAATCTGAACGTTAATTAGCCTGTTGAGTCATCAACATTTGAAAAATAGCAAAAAAACCAAAAAATTATAATAAATTATGAAAAATCGAAATTATTGAGATGAAAACAATTTTTTGGATACAGGTTGAGTATAATTTTTATGTATTTTATTCCACTGAATTTGAATATGAAGTTTTCTTGTCCCGTTAATGGGACAATAAAATAAAAAAAACCAAAATAATCAGGAAAATTATAGTTATAAATATGAAAAAAAATTTATAGAACACGATTAAATACTTTTCTTGTATTTTTTCACGCATAAAATAGGAGTTAAGTATATGAAAATATAAAAAATTGTAGAATTTATAAAAAAAATGACTAGAATGAAGAGAACGATTTTCTCGAATTTTAACCTCTTCATGCACGAGATTTTTTTCCTTAAAAATAAAATATTTAAATTGCAAATCAAATAGCTAATTACCTTATGATATTAGTAAAAATAAAAAATAATTTTTTTTTTTTTTTTGACTTACTAAAAATAAGGTTTTAGTATTTGATACCATCGTGCAATATTTGAAAAAAAAAATATTCATATTATTTAATTTTATCAAACATACTTTATTTTATATTAAGAAAAAAAAAATAACAAACATCAACTTTTAGAAAAACTTCATAAATTATAAATCATAAAATTAAGTTCATAAAATATATATAATAAAACAAATTTTAAAAGATCAATATTGAATAATAATAAACAAATAATATTTAAAAAATTATAAATAAGACTAGGTATTTTTTTTAAATTTCAGGCTTCTGATAACTTCAGTTTTTTAACTGAATATAAGTTTTATAACATATTTTAAAAGTATTTAACAAAATAATATATACTGTAGTCAATTTTTTATTAATTTAGTGTGAAATGCTCTCATACATTCTGGACATACAGCACATTCTGAATCACTAGGGATTTCTAAATCCAAAAAAAAAACTATATCTTTATCCCTGAGATCTATTTTCAACTAGAAAAAAAAACATCATAGTATAAATTGTTATTATTTTTCATATAATAGGCACAGTGGTATTATTCAAGACCACATGGTACCTAAGCAATTTCGAATACATAACAACATTATATTGTTTCAATATTGCCAAATATGAATAGATCGTACTATATTATGTAATAAAAGTAATTAATTATAAATATACTTACATTATTTGGTCGTTAAAATAAAAATAAAATTTGACTTTTTCAAATGCACAAAATAGTTTCGCGTTTATTAATATATCTCTTTCAATGATAACATAAACAAGTAGACCGATGCGTAACATTCCGTACATTAAACGAAAACAATAATTACATGGCTACCACAATTTTTCGATTTTATATAAATTCTACAATTTTTTATATTTTCATATTCTAAACTCCTATTTTATGCGTGAAAAAATACAAGAAAAGTATTTAATCGTGTTCTATAAATTTTATTTCATATTTATAACTACAATTTTCCGGATTTTTTTTTATTTTAAAACGTTAATGGGACAAGAAAACTTCATATTCAAATTCAGTGGAATAAAATACATAAAAATTATACTCAACCTGTATCCAAAAAATTGTTTTCATCTCAATAATTTCGATTTTTCATAATTTATTATAATTTTTTGGTTTTTTTGCTATTTTTCAAATGTTGATGACTCAACAGGCTAATTAACGTTCAGATTCAGTTTCAGTAAATTGAAATACATAAAAATCATACTTGATCAGGGTCCACAAAATTTTTTTCATCGCTTTAATTGCAGTTTTTTGCCTATTTTTTGGTTTTTTGCATTTTACTCAAATCTGAAGGGTGACCGGACCAAACGGACTTCAAATTCGGATTCAGCGGGACAAAATACATGTCTGTAGGTGGGTCTAGTCCAATGTACAGACAACTTTTTTTTTTTGTGTGCCGATGTTATTATAGATCATTGATTGTTTTGAACAAAAATATTATTTTTGTATTATGTATTTATATACTTACTATAACAGATATTCTTTAAAAACAATTATTTTTAGGCCAGATTGGAAAAAACTAAGAAATCAGTATTTAAATATGCAAAGGCAAAAGATGTCTATTCTAAAAGCACAATTACAACAAGTAAAATTTCATAAGAAATTTGAACCTCAAATAAAAAAAAAAAATGAACCAAATATATCTAAAAGTGAGGTCGAAATTAATAAAAAAAATAATGATGATGTTCGTGTAAAATATGAACCTGGTATTATTTTAAAAGTTATGTTTTCCAATCCCATTGAGTGTGACAAATCATTTAAAGTTAGTTTTATTATTAACAATATTTGCTTTACGCCTTCTAATTATTTTTAAAATATTTATCTTTAGGCTGAAGCTAGAATGGATCCAGTAATTAAATATGTGGATGTTGTTAAAAATACTGAAGCATATGTACGTTGTGACTCTCATAACTCGGCTAAAAAAATTGCAGCTGAAAATCGTTGGCCTACTACAAAACTATTAGATGGTATTAATATTAATTCTTTTTATAAATGATTTATAAAATATAACTTTATTTTAGTTTTGATTATATTTAAATTTATAATGAAGAAAGAAAGAAATTTATTGAAAATATTTTACATTCCCTTAAAAATAAAATTAACACCTTATAACTTCAGTGTTTAGTCTTAACAAACATGCAAAGCATATGACTTTCCAGAATCACATTTTAAACTATTTTATGTGTTTTATGTGTTATTAAAGGTCACATGTATAATTTAGCCAAAGGTGGCAAAATACTTTAAGCTAGTTCTGATAGGCACTTTAACCATAGGATATATCTAAAATAACTTTCTTGGAGAAGTGATATAACAATAGGAGCTCTAAGGAGGTGCTTTGAATACTTTGCACTCACAGTAATTTTAGAAAATTATATTTAAAAAAGAGTAATTATGTTTAAGACCCTATTATATTGTAGCGACCAAAACATACGCAACGAATATTCTCGAATGTTCTCGTTATCAAAAACCTTCGAGAAACTTCGATAACGCCATAAGATAACCTACGCGGGTATAGAATATTCTAGAATTAGCGAGAGCCTTATCGGAGCTATATATATATCGGAAGAATCAGTCAGTTCAGTTAGTTCAGTTCAGACTGTCTAGTCCGCGATACGCTACACGACCGCTACACCCCGCCGCTGTTGTCATCGTGTATTATGTTTACTTCGATTATTTTATTTTTCCTTACTGTATATACATATATTTTCTTTTAGTGTTTATACGTCTATTTTAGTGTTATAATTTTGTTTAATAAAAGTCTACCGCCATTTAAATAATTGTGTGTTGTAAGATATAACCCACAAATTGGTGACCTCGACGTGATGGCGCAGACAGACGAAACAATTGCTCGAGTAGCCGTCAAGATACCGGATTTCATTTCGTCAGATCCCGAACTTTGGTTTGCTATGGTCGAAGGAAGTTTCGCCAGCGCGGGAGTCACTGTTGACAGTACAAAATTCGGGTATGTAGTTGGAGCATTACCGCCAAAATACGCAGTGGAAGTCAAGGACATAATTATGACGCCGCCCTCAGACAGTAAGTACGCCAAAATTAAACAAGAGTTGATAAGACGTCTTAGTGCCTCCCAAGAGGAGAAAACACGCCAACTTTTAGAACGCGTTGAGATTGGAGACCGTAAACCATCACAATTTTTACGCCATCTCCAAAGTCTGGCCGACTCTTCTGTTCCGGAAACGTTATTGAAGACACTTTGGATGGGCCGTTTACCGAAAAGTATACAGGTAGCGTTGGCAATAGTGAAAGATAGTAAGCTTGAAGATCTCGCTGTCCATGCGGACAACATCGCAGACGCATCGGGTCCTTTACTACCACAAATAGCAGAAATGTCGAGAAGTGACACTTTTGAAGCCATGTTGAATCTTAAGATTTCTCAACTTAGTCTAAATATTAATCAGGAGATTGCAGCGTTGAGAAGTGAAGTGGCTGCGTTAAATACTCGCCCCTCGCGTACTCCGGACTCAAGACCAAATACTTACCGTCCAAGGTCACGATCTCGAAGCCGCACTCATCATGGCGCAGACGGAATATGCTGGTATCATTGGCGTTATGGATCCCAATCGAAAAAATGCAAGGAACCTTGTAACTATAAATCGGGAAACGGGACGGGTCATCACTGATGACGGCCAGTGAGCCCGGTCAGTTTCCACGCCGTCTTTTCATCACAGACCGAACTTCCCAAACTCAATTTCTCATCGATACGGGCGCCGACTTGTGTGTTTATCCACGTAGTGCTGTTCCAGGCCACCGCGTAAAAACCGATTACGTCCTATCAGCCGCCAATGGCACGCCTATAAACACCTACGGCACTATCACGCTCAGCCTAAACTTCGGACTTCGTCGAGATTTCACTTGGAGATTTGTGATTGCGGAAGTATCCAAGCCCATCATTGGTGTTGACTTTTTAAGTTTTTACAATCTTTTGGTAGACGTGCGCAATCAATGTCTATTAGACGGACTTACACAACTCACCACTCGTGGTCACGCCGTCAAGTGCTCAATACCATCTATTAAGGTCGTCGTGGGAGAGACGAAATACGACGGTTTACTACGGGAATTTCCAGAGATCACTCGACCGTTTGGGACCCTGAAGGATATCAAACACAGCACTAAACACTTTATCCCGACGACACAAGGACCCCCGGTATCTTGTAAACCACGACGCTTAGCACCTGATAAGCTTAAGGCAGCAAAAAAAGAGTTTGAAGCTATGATCCAACTAGGCATTATCCGACCATCCCAAGGACCTTGGTCATCACCATTACATCTAGTACCAAAGAACAAAACAGATGCATGGCGTCCTTGTGGGGATTACCGCGCTCTAAATGCCCGGACTATCCCAGATCGGTACCCTGTTCGTCATATACAGGACTTCGCGCACTTTCTCCACGGTAAAACGATTTTTTCAACTATCGACTTGGTTCGAGCGTATAATCAAATCCCTGTAGCTGAAGAAGACGTCCCTAAAACTGCAATTGTGACACCATTTGGACTTTACGAATTCCTCTTTATGTCTTTTGGACTTCGAAACGCAGCACAATCGTTCCAACGATTTATTGACGAAGTACTCCGTGGACTTGATTTTTGTTTCAGTTACATTGACGACATACTCGTGGCATCTGTTTCTGAAGAAGAACACATCAAACATTTACAGATCATTTTTGAGCGACTACGCGAATACTCTCTGGTTCTCAATCCTAAAAAATGCGTTTTTGGACAACCAGAAGTAAAGTTTTTGGGCTACATGATTTCTAAAGAAGGAACACGTCCTCTACCTGATAGAGTCGCTGACATATTGAGCTACAAGAGGCCAACGTCAGCTAAGGGTCTACGACAGTTCTTAGGTATGTTAAACTTCTATCGTCGTTTTATACCTAGAGCTTCAGATGCACAATCACCACTAAGTGATCTCTTAGTACCTAATCTAAAAGGTAAAGCACCTATTAATTGGACACCAGAAGCAATTTCAGCGTTCGAGAAATGCAAGGAGGAACTCGCCACAGCCACGCTTCTCGCGCACCCATGTGACAACGCTCGACTGGCTATTGTAAGCGACGCTTCAAACACAGCGGTTGGCGCAACTCTCCAACAGTTCATCAATGACGAGTGGCAACCCCTCGCCTTCTTTTCCAAGAAACTCACGGCGACTGAGACAAAATACGGAGCTTACGATCGAGAACTTCTTGCGATCTATCTCGCTGTCAAACATTTTCGGCATATGGTGGAAGGACGCGAGTTTGTTATATACACCGATCACAAACCTATCACTTTCGCATTTCAACAGAAATCGGATAAGTGCACACCACGACAATTCAGACACTTGGACTTTATTTCACAATTCACCACGGATATTAGGTACGTTCCTGGTAAACAGAATATCGTGGCTGATACCCTATCACGCGTGGACGCATTATCAGACACGTTAGACTACACTGCTTTAGCAATGTCACAACAGGGAGACGACGAATTGAAAAAGTATGCACAAGAAAACACCGGATTGCGACTTAAGCAAGTGGAATTACCAGGCACGAATGTCTTAGTGTTCTGCGACACATCAACTTCAATCGCCAGACCTTTTGTTACAAAGCCTTTTCGACGAACAGTTTTCAATACCATACATCGCCTTGCACATCCAGGAGTTAAAGCCACAGTGAAGCTTGTAAAACAGCGGTTTGTGTGGCCAGGAATTGACGCAGATTGCAGACATTGGGCACGGGCATGTGTCGAATGTCAACGAGCCAAAATCACGCGACATGTCACAGCACCCCTTGGGTCATTTTCTCTACCGTCTCGAAGATTTGAGCATGTTCATTTAGATTTAATAATTATGCCTTATTCCGAAGGATTTCGTTACTGCCTCACGTGCATCGATAGATTTACTCGATGGCCTGAAGTAGTTCCATTGGAAAATCAAGAAGCGGAAACTGTAGCACGAGCCTTCTATACACATTGGATTGCAAGATTTGGTACCCCTCTTCGTATCACAACAGATCAAGGAAGACAATTCGAGTCATGCCTTTTCAAGCAACTTAATTACCTGACTGGTACGAACCATCTTAGAACTACGGCCTATCATCCTTCAGCAAATGGCATGGTGGAACGATCCCATCGGCAGCTTAAAGCCGCTATTAAATGTCATCAGAATAATCGATGGACAGAAACTCTTCCGACAGTCTTATTGGGTATCCGAGCAGCTTGGCGTGACGATCTTAAATCCACCTCGGCAGAATTAGTCTATGGAGAGCCACTTAGACTCCCTGGTGAATTCCTCACGTCAAATAATAATACCGCCAAGTGCGACGACGCAGCTGAGTTTATCAAAGACCTTCGACATCACATTCAGCAGATCCGACCAGTCAATGGTACACGACATGGCGAGAAGAAAAATTTCGTTTTCAAGGATCTAGCAACCACAGAGTACGTATTCATTCGACATGATGGGCCCAAAAACGGAATTCAAATGCCCTATGATGGTCCCTATCGAGTCATAAGTAGGAACGAAAAAACTTTTGTTATTGATATTAATAAGAAGAAAGTTACAGTTACTATAGATAGACTTAAACCAGCATACATCATGGCAGATGAATACTCTAAGGAAAATATTCCGAAAAAGATCCAGACACATACACCCATTACCATTCCCAGGGAGGATCAAAGGACACGTTCCGGAAGAAGAGTCCATTTTCCAGACCGTCTTCAAGTAGGCTCCGCTTGACTCCGTCACTGGTAGGGGAGTGATGTAGCGACCAAAACATACGCAACGAATATTCTCGAATGTTCTCGTTATCAAAAACCTTCGAGAAACTTCGATAACGCCATAAGATAACCTACGCGGGTATAGAATATTCTAGAATTAGCGAGAGCCTTATCGGAGCTATATATATATCGGAAGAATCAGTCAGTTTAGTTAGTTCAGTTCAGACTGTCTAGTCCGCGATACGCTACACGACCGCTACACCCCGCCGCTGTTGTCATCGTGTATTATGTTTACTTCGATTATTTTATTTTTCCTTACTGTATATACATATATTTTCTTTTAGTGTTTATACGTCTATTTTCGTGTTATAATTTTGTTTAATAAAAGTCTACCGCCATTTAAATAATTGTGTGTTGTAAGATATAACCCACAATATTTTACTATTTTCGCTTTTGTAAATAATCTTATTAGTATTAAAATAACTTTTACTTGTAAAATTCTTACTAAAAATTATTATAAATCCATCAAAAAAAATTTTTTAATTAGTTCTATTGAAAATTTTGTAAATAAACAATAATAAATTGATTTTTCTTTACTGAGATGAATCATAAAAAATACGTTATTGATATAAAATTCAACAATTGTTACAAATAATAAAAAAATTTAATTAAATCAAAGATAATTTGAATTACCAATTAAATCAAAATCACCTTCTGTATATCATATATTATTATAATTAGCTATTATTAAAACTATTGTTTGAATTTTACTGTTAAATCAATTTTTTCAGGTGAAGATGAAAAATTATACTGGGAAAAAATACTACGTGATCGTGAAAATAGATTTATCAAACAGAAAGAAACTAAAAAACCACGTGGTCGCTCAAAGTTAATAAATAAAGCAGAAAAGCAATTAGCTCATCATGTAAAATTTACTGAAAACTAAATATGTATTATTTAAATATAATACATACATATTAATCTAAGTAAAATTTTATTTGAAGATTATTTATTGATTGTAGATGTTCCTTACAAAATACAATTATTTTACAAATAATTTTATTTTTTTCATCAATAATTATATCATTGTATAACTAAGCAAAAAATACTTTTAAAAATACTCAGTTTTTATTAATGTATCATAGAAAATGATCATTAGATCATTTCAAAATCAAGATTTTTATTAATAGTGATCTTTCGTTGATATTTTATCTTACTCATATATATATAAGACATGTTTATGTAGGCATACATACCCGGAGATGCCTTTCTATTTCATTCTATTATTGTCGCTGCCAGTTGAAAAAGTAAGAAAAGTAAGAGTGGCTAGAAGTGCCACTCTTAATTTTCTTTATGCTAAACCACCGCCGCCTTTACTTTTATTTATCACAAAACCAACCACCTATTACCTTTATCCCTTTTGTCAACCTTTAACAACATACCCTGCCGCCACTATCCTTTTCTTTTTGTTTATTACAATAATCATAGATATATTAACATAGACTGTATGACTAAGATTATTTTCATATATTCTGTTATTAACTAGTGATCTGCAATTTTTTGCCCAATTTACAATCAAAAGTGTATTAACTAATTGACGTACAAAATAAGTAAAATAAAAACTGTAGCACAATGGAGTCGCGGCATATTGGAGACATTGCATAGTTAGGTCCAGTATAGATTTAATCTGACAGTGATTAAAATCACTATATTAAGAAACGCTTCGATGCAAATCTGTAGATAGTGTTTAATTTAAAAAAATTGATGGGTAATTGCAAAAGCAACATCAACTTCTATTAAAATAAAATACAAAACCCATAATTTTAATACAAAAATAGCATATTTTTGAATACGGTAGCCATTTGCGTATAGAAGATAGGTCGTCGGGACAAATTTTTTTTTTTTTCATTTTATAGTACATAAAATAAGCTTTAATTTGATATATGTTTAAAGGACGCATTATTTCCGGAACACTTTCAAAAATTAAGTTGAAAAAGTTATTTTTTGTAAAAAAGTTACTATTTTAAATCACCCCAGTGAGCAGAATAAGTGTTAGATTTTCAAAAAAATTATATCGAATGAAAGGGAAATATCTAAGGTTTCAATACAAAAAAATATTATTTTTATTTGTTCATTTTTGAAAAAGTTATGGCAGTTTTAAGTACAAAAAACATCCCGATAAAAGGTCATTTTTATCGCAAACATTACATTTTTTTTTAAATTTTCGACAGCCATTTGCACATAGAAGATAAGATGTCGGGACAAATTTTTTTTTTTCATTTGATAGTATATAACATAACCTTTGATTTGATATATGTTTAAAGGACGCAGTATTTCCGGAACATTTTCAAAAATTAAGTTAAAAAAGTTAATTTTTGTAAAAAAGTTGCAATTTTAAATCCCCCCCAATGAGCAGGTTAAGTGATAGATTTTCAAAAAAATGATATCAAATGAAAGGTAGATATTTAAGGTTTTAGTATAAAAAAAAATTATGTTGATTTGTTTATTTTTGAAAAAGTTATGGAAGTTTTAAGAAAAAAAAGTGAAAAAATTCGAAAATTAGCGATTTTTAAATTTGTAATTTTTTTGGATATTTCCCCCATTTGCGGGGAACGAGGAAATTTTTTTCAATTTTTAAGGGTAATGTCTTCAACTAGATACAATTTGTGATCTTTTGACGTATTTTTGAAAGAAATCGGTCCAGTGAGAGCTGAGAAAAAGTGGCAACAGACATAAAAAAAAAAAAACACATCATATTAAAATTAATACCTTCTCCGCTTCGCATCGAAGCTAAAATCAATAGAAATTATTAAAACATCTAACACTTACTGTTCGTTGCTAAGTAAAAAAACTGAACCTATTACATCAGAAGTCTTGGAAAAGACTAAAAAAAATAGAACTTTACGACGTGAAAATACTGATAACAAAAATTCCGCTACAAGAACTCATCCTCGTGATAATAAAAAACATTTATGGGATAAGAGGTACTTATTGTTCTCTAAATTCGACAAAGGAATCATGATGGACAATGGTAATAAAATAATTATTTAAGCTAACTTTAATATATTACTATTAACGATAACGCTTTTTTCAGAATCATTTTAATCCGTTTGTCTCGAGATCTTAAGCACACATATAGCATTGAGATGTCCCGGTCTAGACGTTGCTATGGATCCGTTTTGTGGTGCAGGTGGAAACATCATCCAATTGACTAAGAGATACACACGAGTATTCGCTGATGATATCGATGCTAAAAAATTAGAGTTCGCCAAAAGAATCGCAGAGATTTATGGAGTCGAGGACAAAAATACATTTATACTGGGAGATTTCTTCGAGATTGCAGAAACATTAAAAAAATTTAAGTCACAGGTCATAGTGACGTCTCCCCCATGGGGCGGCCCTTCGTATAAGAAACACGAAGTTTAGAGTCTCGAGAAAAAAATGTGTAACGACTACAAAGGAGGCAGTAGAAAACTCTTCAACCTGCTCAGAAGTATTGCTCCCAACGTAGCACTGCACATACCTAAAACTACAGGTCGAAACGAGGTAAATTAATCTAATTTCTTTAGGTGAACCACAATTATAGTTAATGTTAATCGAATAATTTTCTAGTTGATACAATTTGGAAAATTATTTGACCTCAACATGGAAATTCAACACAATTATATCGACGAAGGACACGATTCTATTACTGCGTATTCGGCCCATTTTTCAACATTAACACGAAATTCTTATATAACGATAAGAAACTTTACACGAACAGAAAACATCTCAAGTATCCAGAATCTGCTGATTACAATTATTGTTAATAATAGTTAATATGTTTATAATTCACTCAATTTTTCTAAATATTCACATTATATCGATAAAAAAAATATGTTTATATATTCTAATTTTCAATATTTTACCATTATATACACACTTAATTAGATATACCACTAAATTTGAAATTATAAAATACCTTACAATTCATTTATTTTTGCTACAGCTTGCCGTCGGATGACATATTTTAATGAAAAGTAAAGTTTAAATCATTATGTTATGATTATATACATTTCATTGTACAACATATATTATTTTGATTGATTTTAGCTTCGATGCGAAGCTGAGAAGGTATTAATTTTACCATGATGTTTTTTTTTTTATGTTGTCACTTTTTCTCAGCTCTCACCGAACCGATTTCTTTCAATGATACGTAAAAAGATCACAAATTGTATCTAGTTGAAAACATTACCCTCAAAAATTGAAAAAAATTCCCTCGTTCCCCGTAAATGGGGGAAACCTCCGAAAAAATTACAAATTTAAAAATGGCTAATTTTCGACATTTTTTTACTAAAAACTGCCGTAACTTTTTTAAAAATAAACATATCAATATAATTCTTTTTTTTATAGATGCATGATGTCATTACCTATCATTTGGTATATTATTTTATAAATCTGACTTTTTACCTGCCCAAAGGGGGGTATTTAAAATGACAACTTTTTTACAAAAAATTAATTTTTTCAACTTAACTTTTGAAAGTGTTCCGGAAGGTCTGACACTTTTATATATATTTTAAATTAAAGCTAATGTAATATACTTTATAATGGTAAAAAAAAATTTCGGACATTATTTTATCTTCATGGTGAAAACAGACATTAAACTTAATAAAAAAAATACGATTTTTGTAAAAAAATTCTTTTTTATATTTTTAACTTTATAATGCTATAACTTTTTGAAAGATGTATGGATCAATATAATTCTTTTTTTTGTAGATGCATGATGTATTTACCTATCATTTGGTATATTATTTTTTATAAATCTGACTTTTTACCTCCCTATAGGGGGGGATTCAAAATGACAACTTTTTCACAAAAAATTGACTCTTTCAACTTAAATTTTGAAAGTGTTCCGGAAAGTCTGACACTTTTCTATATATATTAAATTAAAGATAATGTAATCTACTTTATTATGTAAAAAAAAAATTTCGGACTTTATTTTGTCTTCACNAAAATTCTCGATTTTATTTTTTACATTTTTAACTTTATAATGCTATGACATATTGAAAAGTGTATGGATCAACATTATTTTTCTATGAGAAATAATTTTTCATTCTACATACTTTATCTTAATTAGGATATTAATAATGAACTAGCAGATCATGTAGCTTTTGGAATAGTCCACCAATTTTTTAAAATTAAACATTATCTAAAGATTTGCATTGAAGCGTTTTTTTTTTATAGTGATTTTAATCACTGTCAGATATCATTATACTTGATCCATCTATACCACGTCACCACTGTGCCGCGACCCCCCTGTGCTGGGTTTTTTTTTATGTGTCTGAATTTTAATTAAAATTACCATAACTTTTTTAAAAATAGCCAAATTAATATAAATATTTTTCCTATAGATGCTTAATGTCTTTACTTATCATTTGGTATAATTTTTTCATAAATTTAACTCTTTACCAGCCTACAGGGGGGATTTTCGAAATTTTTTCAAATTTTTTTACTAAAAACTGCCGTAACTTTTTTAAAAATAAACATATCAATATAATTCTTTTTTTTATAGATGCATGATGTCATTACCTATCATTTGGTATATTTTTTTATAAATCTGACTTTTTACCTGCCCAAAGGGGGGTATTTAAAATGACAACTTTTTCACAAAAATTAACTTTTTCAACTTAACTTTTGAAAGTGTTCCGGAAAAACTGACACTTTTATATATCTTAAATTAGAAGACAATTTGGCTTATACAAAAAGTAATTTTGAAATTTTTACCAAAGCCATTATAAAACTACAAAAAAAGATGTTTTACTACGTGATTCACTAACAGTGGTTCAAAATCTACAACAAAATTTTCTACATTAAAAAGTAATTACGAGATTCCAATTATTACTGAACTAAATAATGTTTTTGAAAAAAATTATGGCTTGAGAATTATTAAAAAAATATAAAAAATACTCGATGGTGAAGATGGTAGTGATCTATATGACTCACAATTTTCTCAAAGACTATTCCAGTGACAATATTGTTCACTTTAAATATGCGCCTATTACATCGGATGTTGTCAAGC